GGATAGCTCTGTATGCCACATATTTGCTTTGGGATAGAGCTTGGCATTTCCATTTAGAGGTATCAGATCACTACTTCTCTCACTGAAAGACATTTTTCCCCATTCAATACGATATTATGATAATGTCTCAGCAGTGTGGGAAAATATCAGTGTGGTTATTATGAATTTAAGAAGACTTTGAATCGAGTCCATAGGACTGTAATAAGAGATTTAAAGCCATATCTGTAGTTATCTGCAGTTCTCTCAGATTTGGAAAAACTGCTGATAATTTTGTCCTTATGAACTAAGTAAAAAAAAAAAAACAAAAAAACAAAACAACAACAAACCAAACAAACAAACAAACAAACAAACAAACAAACAAACAAAAAACCACCTCATCTGATTTTATTAATGCTAAAGGGAATTTCACTGTGAGTGACATTAGGGACAGAATTGGGCCCAGTTTACTGTAAATAATACTCAACAAACTATTTTCACATGAAGTCAAATAACAAAGGGGAATAAGTTAAAGAGAAGGAAAATTGAAGCAATGAATCTTAATGATTTCAAGAGAAACCTAGATCAAGAGAAGGAAGACACTGAAAGCAAAGAGAAGAAGAGGGACGACAGGAATTTGACCAGCTAATGGGGAAACAGGTGGGAAAGTGTTACTACTCTGTTTAAAATAATTTCTGAGTTCTTCAATAATGAATTGGTCTTCTGGTATTTTTGGTCTGGAAATTTTGTTGCTTTCAAGAAACTGCAATGTATGCATCTGAACTCTTTGTAAATTTCCTCCCAAAGCACAGCATTTATCTGTTAATTCATATGAAAATCAGTTTATTTTGATTCAGCTAGTATAAAAAAAGAAGCTGATAGAATTATTCCAAAACACTTCCAGAAGACAATGTGGCTGTGGTAGCTGTTGGCCTGTTTACAACCTCTTTTTCTCATTGCTCTCCTTGTGCTGTCAGCAGTCAAAATCTGATGCTTCTCTCTGACCTCGGATGGCATCTTATTTTAATGATTTTTCCATCCCATGTAGAGACCAACCACAACATCTGAGTCACTGAGGTCCTCATGCTTAAGAAAAAATTAAGAATAACAATCTGCTTTGTTAATGTTTAAGGCACTGGTTTGTTTAAAGAGAGATTATTGCACTTTTATTGTCAAACAGAACACAGACTTTGGCCTGGTAATCATTGTGTCAACCCCAGCAGTTTTCTCAGTGTGTCAACTGCATGTTCTGGGTGCATGAATAAACTATTCTGACACTCAGCCAAAACACACTTTTGTGTATAAATCAGAATTGTGAGCACTTTTTCTATAATGTTTGTCCCAGCCATGTACATATGATACACCTGGAATTTCTGAGCAGTCTGTGTATTCTGGTGCACAGTATGCCAATTGAACTCTGTGTACTTAGATTATAGAAACCTGTGTTGTTTGCTCAAATTTCATCCAGGTGAAGATTACACCAGAAGATCAGAAGTAGGTATGTTTCAGTAAATATGATGCAGCTGGAACAGTTAATTTGTCTCTGGACTTGCTATGGCGAAAATTTGTTTCCCTGAGATTCCAGCGCTCATTTTCATATTTAAGATCAAAGCCAAAGTTTCATGGAAATTTGTAATTATTTCTAGTTGAGTATAATTATTTGGGTAGAAAGCACAGTTCTTGTCTAGTAGGTTTAGAAGATGGAAGGATAAAACACACTACTTTTATGGTGAAGGACTTATTTGAAGTTTATTAGTAGAGCTTTAAAATGAGAGTTCCACTGCAGGTTTGGTAAAAGTTCAGTTGGCCAAGAAGTCATTGTGTGTGTTGAACTGAACTGAGGATAAAATTAACTTACAGCTTGTCTTATTGTCATGGCAATTAAAACAGAAAATTATGCATAACTGAAATAATTTTAAGTTCTATCAATTTCATTATTTCCGCTAGTCTTAAAATTGCCATACACACGACTCATTTTAAAGAGGATTTATACAATTTACTCCAACTCTTTTAGAAAAAAATTAAAATAGGTGTATCTGGCACTGGTTAGTGCAATATATTTCAATGAGTTCCACAAGGTTATATTTATTGATCTCAGGGCTGCAAGGCTATTGACTACTCTCCGTTTATTGAAAGTCAAGGAAGACATGGAAATTTTTGGCAAGGTAGATACTGTAATATTGGGATAATGATGGGTGATTTATGAAACACATTCTGCACTCATTATGGCTGCTCATATTCTTGACTCAAGTATCAGCAGTTTCTAGTCATCTGACTCTCCATCTTTTGAGTTTTAACTTCTGTGGCATGTACTGAAAGAACAAAGAGAACAGAGGAAATGTATTTCTGCATTCCAAACTTGCTCAATTTTCAGTCAAATAATTTAATTGCAGAGTCCCTTTAATGGCAAAAAGCAAAAAAATCAACAAGTATGATATTCTGTGCTCAGTATGCACTTCACTCATCATTTCTGCCACTCAGCTCGCTCAGTTGCTCTCTCCCATCTCGTCTCTCTCAGTTGACCAAGGTATGTCCTCTTTAATGTATGTGCTTCACAAGTTGTTATAGAATTGGGATACCAGTCATTAATTTAATTGTATCCATTAAATTTGACCGATTTTATACGGGTCATTTGTGGCACTAATTACACACTGAAGAAGGAATGGTTGGGAAATCTGGAAAATCATCAGGAAAGGGTGATCTACAGATATGACAAACCAGATGCCTGTGTCTCTTCTCTGCCTTCTGAGAACTTCATCCTTCCCTCTGCGCTGTCTTTCTCTCAGTCCCTTTTCTTCCTCCCATTCAGTGATTGCTGCCTCAGCTCCCTGGGCACTGAGAACCCTTTGATATAGGTAATTTTCTCTCACATTTGTAAGTGATCTGCAAGGAAGGTACCTTCATAAGAAAATCCTGATATTGTCACAGAAGGATATAGCATCCACAGGTCCTCAGAGGTGGTGATTATGAGACAGTTTTTAGGAAGAGGCTGAGAAATTTCACATATTAAAACAGGCCATTGTGGTCATCCTGGTGCTCCAGAATTTCATCTCTAGTTATCCATGCATCAAGGTTTATGAGGTGCAACCAAGTAAGAGTAAATCTTTCAGAAGATTTAATCCCAAATTTTTATCCTAAATCATAGAAAGATTATGAAAGTGTGGGGACCTAAGATTGGTTATGTGGAGTACTAGTGAAAATTACAGCATTTCACAAGGAAACTTTTGTGTATTTCCTCTAAAAGAGTTAGTGGCAAGATACTGAAATAACCTTACGTAGAAAATGTGTTTGTGTTGGGGCTTCAAAGTCACTGTGTCAAATTTGAAAGCCAAATTCTAGTGCTGAAGTGTGAAAGAAGCGTGAATCTTGGTGCATTCATAGCTGATGTTGCAACTGAAAGTTCCACAGCATTCATACAAGGGGCATGCCAGTGCATACCTGGCACTGTGTTTCCATCACTCTTGTAAGATTTAATCCAACCTTCAGCATTCTGTTTTGCTTAACCATTATTCTGGGTGTTGCATATTGCTTGCTCTATTCAACGAATCTGCTCCTCAGCTCACCATCCATTCCACCCCCATGCATTTTTAGGATATATTTTTAGGGATTTTGGTTCTCCTTTTCTTTTCTTTTTCTTTTTTTTTTTTTTCTGACCAAAACATTGGATGAGCCAATGAAAATAGTCATGCCCAGAGGCATCCAAATTTTGCTAATCAGATCAAAACTAGGAGGTCATTTATTTTTATCCTGTTACTCACATAGTACATGGCTAGAGTTCACCACAGTCAAATATATCAGCATGCTGATGAAATGCTCCCATTTAAGTAGCACTCATCACAGCAGTTAATAGTCCATCAGAAAAGCATAATAATAGTATTGGAATATAATTAATAACAAAAGATGTGTGCATTTTCATTGGCCAGGAATGAGTATCTCCTACTCAGAGAATAGGAATTTGCTTATAGTGCAATTTTTGAGAAATAGCCCACCATTAATTGCACAAATCAAGTTTTCCCAGCGGATCAGCGTACAAAGAAATTAATGTAAATAAAAAATAAGGGTCAGCTTGATGTGTGTTTCAGCCATCAGGTTAAAAGAATTCTTTCTGTGTAATTATACATTATGTGTTTTGACTTGAACAATTTAATTAAGAGACTGTACACCGTGAAAGAGAAAAATAAGTGTGCTTGTTTGACTGGGGAGCTCTTATGGAAAGTGATAGCATGATACCATTAGGAAACTCAACAAAACAATCTACATTCATGCATTTAGAGAAGCAGAAGTCTGAACATCTGTTTCCAGCTATTGAATTCACAAAACAGGCTTTGCTGTGCAGGGAATAAGTGAAAAAAAAACCCAAAAACCAAAAACCAACCCAACAGTTGGAGGAGATTATCTCTGACATTTAATGAAATGCTGAAATGTCACAAAAATGACGTAAGATGAGAACAAAATGACTGAAACTGAGGTGTGCTAAAAGTTAGTTTGGCAAAAGAAGCACAGATAGACAAGAACAAGCCAAGCCTCTACCCATTTGTCTTTTGGAAGTGTACTGTAAGAATGATCAGTTTATCAACAACATACTTTTTTTTGTTCAAGATAGATTACCAGGTGGCATGAAATGGCTTTGGAGAAACATGCAATAAAGAAGAGCTCCCCAGCATTTTTTTTTTTTTAAGCCAGGAAAAAAGAAGAAAAAAGTGGCAATGAAAAGATGTGCCTATAAGTGTTAAAAAATTCCAGAGACAATAGTCAAATTAAAGAAAAAAAAAGTTTTATCTTGGATGTGAAATTTTCCTTTCTGCTTTCCTTTTCCTTTTCCACAATCAAGAGCCTTGGAAAGGGAGTAATAATCATCATAATAAAAGAGAAATGGAACCAAGAACCAACTCGCTGCCAGGGGCTGTAATACAATATCTCAGCATTTCAAGGGTAAATCAGTGTGAACCGCGTCTGCCGTCCCTCTGAAAAAAAAAAAAAAAAAAAGTAAGTATTTAACTTCCGTTCAGTCAGCGCGGACTGCTGAAGGATAGGAAATCGGTGTCAGAGAGGGGAAAAAAAAAAAATATAGGAGGGTTTCCCAAAGCGAGCACCGAGCGGGGCCGACAGAAGTATGAAGAGCGGCAGCGCCGCTGCCACCGCTCTGCTCAGCTGCGCTCGGGGGGACGGCGGCAGGGGGACAGGGAGTGCGGCCCCGGAGGGGCGGCGGGAGCCCTGCCTGCCCATCCCGGCCAAGGTGGGAGCCCTGCCTGCCCGCCCGCCCCAGCGGGGCTCGCTGCCGGCCCCACGGCGGAGCCCGCCGCGCCGGCTCCTTTAAATTGAGGGCGTTTCGTGCATCTCGCCGGCTGCCTTCGAGTTTAAAGAGAAAGGGGCCGGAGCGAAGCGGGAAGGTGAGTTTTGGAGTAGGTGCCTGCATTTCCTTTCCCCCGTGCCCCGAGGCAGCGGCGGGCGCCGCGCCGGGCGGCTGCCTGTGCCTGCCTGGTTGTGGGGTTTTGGTGTTTTGTTTGTTTGCTTGTTTTTTTTTTTTTGGGTGGTTGTTGTTTTCCTCCCGCTGTCTGACTGCGGGACTGCGAAGGCATCGCGGAGGCGGAATGGGAGCGCGCGTGGGTGCTTGACGGAGGTGCAGGAGTGGTTCCCCCGCTCCTGCTCGGCGGGGCTGCCCCGGGCATCCCGCCGAGGAGCTTCGTGGTCCTGCCCCCCACCCTGTCCCCCGAGGGGGCCAGACCTGGGAGCAGCGCTTCCAGCGCTCATGGCAAAGCCATTAAGCTCAGCCCGACTGCGGAGGGGCTGCGAGGAGGACAAACGCTCCGGGCTCCGCGGCGGGTGAGACGGAACGGAGGAGCCGGGGTGGGGGGATGGCTCCTACTCTTACCGTGCGCTACACCCCCAGCCCCAAAACCCGGCTTGACTTCGAGGCTGCTCCACGCAGCCCTGGGCGGTGCCGGCGGTGCGAGAGGAGGAGGGCGGGCGGGTGGGTGGTTTTTATAGGTGTGCAGAGCCCGTGGGAAATGGGAGCGCTGCGGCGGCGGGAGAGCCCCGCTCCGCTGCAGCGCTCCCGGCTCGCCACCTCCGCCACCCCCAGGGGCAGGAGGACGAGACCCCTCTCGCCCCAGGAGCCGCCCTTCCAGGTTCTCGCCTTCTTTCCCCTTCAGGCTCTAGGTTCCTGATGCTCCGAGGGCAGAGTTTCGCTTTAAAAAGGCTCTCTTTCTTTACTGGTGCCCTACGTGTGAGGAGTGAAGGTTTGCTGTCCGCCTTATCTGGGGTTGCTGTCAGCATCCTGCTGCAGTGGTGTGTGTCATCTGAGCCTGCTGTGTCTCTGCGTGCTCCCATGGGAGAAGGGCTCTTGGGACACCAGGACGGGTGCGTTGCAGGCTCCCCAGTGCTGTTACAGCATACCTCTGACATTACTCTGAAATTAAAAATTAACGAAGTGTTATTGGTTTTCCATGTACCTTAAATTATGTATATATTTTTTTTTTTCATTGTGCAGCAGATGTTGTGCCAAGTGTAAGGGTTTTGTGCCGTGGGTTGTGATTTAGTAAGAAGTTTCTAAATAGGACATTTCTAAATTCTTATCGGATGGTGCCACAGGCGATCAGATACCACAGTACCATAGTTGGAACCACAGCCAAACCTAGATGGAGGTGGTGAGGTGCTGAAGAGTCAGTACTGTCCTCAAGTTCTAGCTCTCACTGACTTTAACCCACTTACTTATTTGGTCACTTTATTTGTTTTACCTACAGTCTTATTTAAATTGGCACACTCACTATCCAAAGTACCTCTTCAACTCCACTTTACACCTCTCAGTTCAACTTAACACTAATTTCGGGGCAGGATTTAGAAATGGAACATCGTAATTAAAAGCAAAGCTGACGACTGGGAGTCAGCTTGAAAGCACACTCTGCAGACAGTATTACAGCAAGAGACATGCTTCTACTCCTTGTAAGGTACAATATGCCAGTTTAAATATGTCTTTCTTTTTCTGATTGGTGGAGGTAGAAACGTCTTTTGTACTAATTTTTAATGGCTATTTTGCTTAGACAAGCAGAAAAACATACAATAAGAGCCAGGCAAAGAGAAATCAACTTCAGAGTTTTTGGACTGTGTTCGGAATCAGGCTCAGTTTCCAGAAGTTATAATTTTATGAGCATTGAACATTCCTGAAGGTTTTTTTTCAGTCTACATGAGAAGGACTTTCTGCTTTCCTTTGGGCAGAGGAGACATTATCAAGGCAATAAAATTATTTCTGCTAGGCATAGCCCTGAAAATGTCTAGGCTTCCAATGATTAGATCAGATTTTTAAGTGCAGTTAACTTTGTTTTGGTCTGGCTTCAGACCGAGGCCCTTACAGGTCTAAAGTATTGGTCAGCTGTTGTGCCAGGTTCTCCATCCTCCCCTCGAAGTTCTGCACACGTTTGTAACGTATATTCATAACGTAAAGGACAAAGGCTTCTTGTGATTAAAGCTTACTTTATCAGTGTAGATCACGTTTTGATGTAAGCCATGAAAAATTCTAATTGATTAATGAGTTTCAGATGGTGGTTCCCCTTCAGTGCCCCTCCCCCTGCTCCTAATGTACTGTATGCTCCAAGTTAATCTGGGAAAGCTCCAGAAACCTCAGGCTAAATTGGTTGTGGTATAGTTTATAAGGATAATAAAATAACTAGAATAATTGAATTTCCTTATAAAGATATGCTCGCTGCATAAAGATATGTTTGTCAGCTCGTGTTTTATCTGCTTTTATATATGGCAGTGAGCAAACTAAGCTCACAGGTGTGTGTATTTAGGGGGATGCAGGCAAGAATGACCTGTTGTTTCCTACAGACAGCACTTGAAGAGGAGCAGAATCACTTTAGAAGTGATTGTGTTTGGTTTGATGTATGTAAAAGGGCAAAATGAGAGTGATTACTGTTCTGTAGTAAACTGGAAACTGCAGGTGGTAAAGATTGACTTGGTAACATATATCAGTAAGTGGCAAGTCTTTGAGTTTTTTTCCCTACTGCTTCTTTTAGTCCATTTTAAGGATTTCAAGTGAGGGAGCTTTCACAGTTTCACTTGGGGAAATCATTCCACTGTCTGGCAGATCTCACCATAGGGAACAGTTTCCTGACATTAAAAGTATCAATTACAAAAGTTGTTAGTTACTTCTGTGGCTCTCAAAGGAAGGCGTTCCTATGTCTTTTTCCCCCTCTTTCTGCATATATGTGTGTGCATACACATTTGTATGTATTTGAGTGAGGGGATGGAAAAACAAGAGCAGTTTTTAGTCTGTGGACTAATGTTATGCTCTCCAAATCTGAAAAATATGCCAACACTGGGATGGGAAAACTGAATTTAGTTTTAAAATGTGAATGTATTCGTGCTGTGTCTGTAAAAACTGTCACTTGATGATGTGGGGGCAAGATGTTGCAAGTATGGGCACCAAATTGTGGGCAGCTTCACTTCTGCTTGCACAAATATGCATTTTGTTCTGCAACTTAATCTGTTTTATGAATGCTAAATTTTTTACTTCAGCTTCTTTTGCGCCCAGCTTGCCACTACAGTAAGTGAATGCTTCACACAGCCCACTGAAACTCCAGTAACGTTTCGAAAGTTCTGTTCTTTTCCATCTGCTTGAGGTGATTAGAACAGGCAGGGAGATCCAGCAGAGGCCCTTGCCAGATACTCATGAGCTCCGTTCTGGCTTTTGATCATCTGTCTCCTCTCTTTCCAGGATGGCTGCTTTCCAATAGCATTACCTTCTCTCCGAGACAGCAGGAGATTGTCTGCAGTTATAGCTGATACCCCTCTGTCAAAGCCAGTGTGCAGTCTAGCACTCAAGTTCCAGTTCCTTCAGAGAAAAACTTGTGCTGCTGTTGTCTAAGTTGCTGTCTGCTCCCTCTACCTTTGTGATAGGAAAGCTGATAGGTAGCAGATCTCGTTGCACGAGCTCCAAGCCTCCATATTTTAATCCTGTGAAGATCTTCTGGAAAAGAATTCCTGAATCCTGGGTCCGAGGCAGGGTTGTGCCACCTTCTGTTCCAGTTTTCCAGCTTTGTAGAGCAGCTCGGCCACTGAGCTGGCACACGTGCTAATCTGCAGTCCTGGATAACTCTTGCTGGGCTGCCAACTGCACCGAGCCAGTCGAGGAGCTGGCCTGCTGAGGCAGTAGTGCCTGGGTGGGCCGATCCAGATGTCTGCACACAGTGTCCAAGTCAAGCTGTTACAGCGCAAAGGGGACCCTGTGCAGGACCTTTGCATCAGAGATGATTTGATTGATCACTGTACGGAGTTCTGCACTTGCCTTATGATGTATTTTTTCGCTCCGTAGGCTCTCTTAAATATATTTTCATTCTTTTCTAACTGAATACAAAGAAAAAAAAATGCTTGTTTCGCTGGATACTTGATTTCTATGCCAGTTCTTAGGCCAAGTCGTAAAGAGCAAGTGATTCAGCAAGACTTCTTCATTCCTGGCCTGGAAGGATTGCATGTAGGAGCAAGTTAAAAGAAATGGTTCAAGCCTCCTTTTGTTTGAGAATTAATGCCCATGTTGCTGAAACAACAATGCAACTGATGTGATACAGAGGGCACTGCATAGGCAGCAGCTTCTCAGTATAACTTATGTATCTTGTGCTGGGGCTGGATGGGTAATTTGGAGTAAAATCTTGCTGGTTTATGTGATTAGCTAGCAGGGGGTAGCATGTGTATTTTCTGTGAGTGTATGTATATGTATGCATACATGCACACTTTTTAATATATGCATTTTTCCTATACAGAATTTTTTTTTCCCCCCCCCCTCTTATTATATATACTTGGTTGAAGAAAACTATTGTCACAATTTTACGGGGAAGGAAAGGGGTTGGAATAGGAAAGGGAACGAATCCAGGTATCTGCAGCTGTGAGGGCTTCACTGGGCATCCAGTCATCCTTTCTAGATTAGAGAGTCTTTTCCTCCTGTGTGTTTTGAGTACAGGGATCCTTGATTCCTTTTGTTCTACCAGTTAACCCCAACAAAAGCCAGTAGGATTACAAAGAGTCACTTGTTTGGTTCTCATTGCTTTCACCTGATGATCAGTGATAACAATCAGCAGCTAGTGTAAGTTACACTGCTGGCAAAACACAAGCAGTGAACTACAATGCAGGGACAGCTAAATGCACTACTGTAAAGCAAAATAAGAACTTCACTGTTTAGTAGGAGCAAGCAGAGAGAAACAGGACCTTTCAGTGCATCGAATCTGATACAGGCCAGTGGGTGTACTGTGAACTATCCCACACTGAATTCTTCATCTAGACAATAAGTCTTAAGAATATGAGATGTCATCCTCTTACTGAGAGAGGTGGGGAAAAAAAAAAAAAAGGCTGGGCTGCATAAATATGACCTGTAACTAAACAGAATGAAGAGTAGTTAAAGACCATCCCTTGTCAGCATCCCGAATAGCAGGTGGAAGCAGTTGCTTTAAAGCATTTAGAGGTAAGTTTTGAAAATGCTTCTGCATATCACGTCAGCCTCGACAGTTTGTAGAGAAGTGCGACATTCTGTAAAATATTCGACATGTTTGCGTTGGCTGGTTTTAAACAGTTGTATATATGATGACTTGGTGTTGCTGTTAGAAAGTAGTGAGATTAGGAAACCCAATATTCTTTGGCTACTTTTGTTCATACTTTATGCCTGCCAAAAGGGAAAGGATGAAATAGTTGTTGGGGCCAGAGGCTTGCCTCAGCTGTGGTGAGGTATCCTTGAGAACTGCTGTCTACCTCTGAGGCAAGTTAGTCCATGTCTCTGACCAAATTCCTCGCTGATAAATTGTCAATAAGCTTTTCTTGAGTTCTCTAGAAAATATGTTTAGACATTTTAGGGAAGGGAGGTGAAGGTATCTGAGCAACGAATCAAGAGCCTGGCCTTGACCACAGGCAGAACCTTCAAAGGGGTCTTGGAAGAGCTCAGGATTCAATTGCTGTCATAAAACCTTCACATAACTAACTCATTTTGTCTTCTTCACAGATCCCAGCTGCTTTGTGATGGGCTCTAATAGTTAGTGTATGGGCTACTACAACTGATGAAGCAGATAAACATTTAAATGCAACTTCAGTGCTGAAATGTCATGGAGGCTTAAATTAAACTTACAAGTGCAGTAGCAGTCAATGTTTGCATGAAGAATAATTCAGAGTAACTAATTATGCCCTGTTCCTTGAGAGCTGATTTTTAAATTTTTTTTAAATTTCATTTTAAAAATCCAAGATAGAAATTTTGTGGCTTTGATTCTAACAGGGAAGTCTGTTATTGAAGTGCAGGGCAGGTTTTCAGAGAAGCAGTGAAGAAGGGGAAAATTCTTTTTTTTTTTTTTTTTTTAATTAAATTAAATTAAAGAAAACTCTCACAGAGGTAAGGTTGGATTGTATGTGATTTATCTGTGATTCTTCAGGGTAAACTTTCTCATTTCCCAGTCTTCACTTTGCATGTCTGCTTCATAAATAAATGAATTATTATTGTTAACTCAGGGCTACTATTTCAAGCAGACTGAGTCCCACTATAGAGATACCTCAATCATTTTCACCTTCTAGAAATTTTTGTCTCTTGTCTATCTACCTTTCATCATCTTCTCAGTTTCCCATTCTGAGAACCTGTGTCCTATTTAAACTACCTAAAAACCTTCTTGTCTCTGTATCTTCTCTCTTCTTACTACCACAGTTACTTGGAAACTGAAGCACCCTTGAATCCTCCAAATCTTTGTTCTCTCGGTTTTCTTCCTTCAGTGAGTCTCAAGTTTCTTGAGGCCTTCACACAGATTGATTGGTCAGTTAGGGCAGTATGAAATATATTTAAAGACAGCCCTGTATTTTAGAGATGAAGCAACATCTCAACTCCCCAAAATCTCTGCTCTGTGTCTCCTCAGAAACCAGCCTGAAGCATAAACAGACTTGCAGTGCTTGTTTCACAGACTGATGTGGAAACCCAAACTGCTTTCATGTAGGAGCCCCAGAAGCCTTCCCTCTGTTTTCTCTTGTCTTAAGAAATGTAACTTTTCAGACCTTTAGAATGACTTCAGCCCCTCCAGTGACAGCAGCCTGTATTGTATCTGGTTGGCTGTCAGTGTTGGTGATTAATTAGCTCCAAATCCCATAGGACACTTCATATGCATGGTCTTGGAAGTGATGAAGGAGGTGGACCTCTCCTGAGTGGAAAGAAGAGGGTGTTGGCTCTGTCATTTCCCTCCTGACACGACCCAGCTCAGTGTGTGTGTGTGCCCTTCTAGCAGGGCTGTTCTAGCAGCTTCTGTGATTAATTAATATTACTGGGTGCATCCTTGAAATATAACAGAATTAACTCAGGTTGGAAGGGACCTCCAAGGGTCATCTGGTCTAACCTCCCCCCCACAAAGCATGTATGAACTGTGAAATTATCTCCAGTGAAGAGGTGCAGTGTCTAACTGGTTCCTGCCATGCAATGGTTCTGCTTTTTCAGGTGCATTTTTCCAACCTGTGTGTAAAGAGAAACAAACTGCAGGATTTTGGTTCCTAAATACTTAGGTGCACAGGTGTTAATAAACTGAAACACTGGTGCAAAAAAAATACTTTGCTTTATTTGTGTGCTGTACATGAACTGAACATTCAGGAATAAGGATTAAGTTAGATTTTACCGGTATAATTTCAGAGGTCATCCAAGAGACCAAAGTAGTTTCATTCTGGTTCTCACTATATCAGTGGAGTTTACAGACTCCAGAAATCAGTCAACATTTATTTGAAGGCTCTCTCTGGAAAGAAAGTATATGACAGAGGTATTCATACTTGATTTTTCCCATATAATCTTTGACAAGGTGGTGTCAGCCATCTTGCCAGTCTTTCTATCCAAAAATTTGTGTGGTTCTGAGTGACATAGAGCGACTTTAAATATACTGTCACTGAAATTCCTTAGCTGTTGGTAGCTTCCAGTCTGAATCGATCTATTTTGAGAGTGGTATTCCAGATTGATTTTTACAGAGCTAACAGCCCAATCCTTCTCCCTCCCCTCCCTCTCACCCCACTCGAAATGAACAGGTATGATTTGAATTTAATTACCCAGGAAACCATAAATCCAATCTGACATTTTTACAAAGTCAGTTTTCAGAACAGAACTCTACTTAAATTGCATAGTAGGGTGCCTTAAACTTCTCTGCTCTGAAAGGATACATAAAGATTTTATTTTTTTGTCAGAAAAATGTAAAATCTACTCATAATTCAGAAATGCATGCTCATACAAGAGAATAAATCTGTTTTTTAAAGCCTATTTTCCCTTCTCCCCAACTGAAAAAATTGTCTAATTTCAGTAAGGATTATATATTTGTAGTGAAAACTGTGTCTGTCCCAAGGGCAAGCTCAAACCTCAGGATTTGGGCTGAGGTACTGTCAACAGAAGCTTAAGGAGATCTTTTTGGAAGCGTGGAGTTTAGTTAGCCTGACTATGGTGAAACAATGCTGGAGTATTTTAATAAAAGTATATCCCAAATAGCATTACATGTAGTAGCAATACGTACATTTGGAAAAGTCAGTTACAGCACAATGTTATGTTAAGGCAATTGGTTTTTGTTTTTACATTTAGGAATTATTTTCCTCTTTTGAGAAAAGATTTTGTTTTCAATATCCTTGTTATTCCAGGCCATAATGGATAGTATAACAAATTGTCGGTTTGTGTTTTTTTTTGTGGTTTTGTTTTTTTTTGTGGTTTTTTGGGTTTTGTTTTTTTTTTTTTTGGTTGTTGTTGTTGTTGCTTTTGTTTGGGTTTTTTGGTGATTTTTTTGGAGTTTTGTTGTTGTTTTTTTCCCTGCAGTGGTTTTTAAAGTCACAAACACTTCTCACCTGGAACTATTCCTTATGGATCTCACATTCCCTTAATGTCTGTCTAGTGCCACCTACACAAGAGCTGGTGGCTGCTTTTCAGCAAGCTCCAGCCTGCCAGGCAAGGAAATACCTTGGCTTGTTGCTACAAGTATTGGGGTCTAAGGGCTGAGTTTCTTTCAGGGAGGAAAAATAACCTTCTTCTGAAGAAATTCTTTCTTTTAGCACACTTCTGCCACAGATGGGGAATTGGTCCCTCAGGAGCAGAGATACAGGTCCAGTGGTTCTAACGTGTCTGGCTGCTGCAACTCCCAACACTTAATACATTATGTGTTAAATATGAGTTGTCTTGCCCGAAACTGGAGTTTCAGTGTGTCGTCACCGAAGCAGAGGAGGATTTGGGAAGTGGGAAGTCTGAGTGACCAGCGCTAGCTGTTGTGCTGCTTTCTGAAGAAATAATCTACTCAGTGAATATATTTGGTGTAGACCTTTTGCTTTAATTATTCTGAAGCTGTAGAATAGACTGTTTCCATTTGGTTACAGAATTTATAAGTTGTTAATAAGTTTGCTGTAGGAGTGTAATGTGGTTGTTCCCATGTTTTTCTTGGGCCTGATCCAGAAAATCTCTGAAGCTCTCCATTTAATTTGAATGGGTATTGGATCAGGCACCATAGTGGGTTGTTAGCTTTGTGTAAAATGTTTATTTTTATTTGATTTTAATAATTCCTTCCAGAATATATGGTCATGTGTTGGCAACATGTGTAGCTTGGTGAGTACAAGTGAAGTTGACATTTATCTGTATGATTTAATCACTTGCAAAAAAAAAAAAAAAAAAATCTGTTAACAAAGCAAAGCTTTGGTTTTCAACCACGTGTTAGATCCACATCTGGTTGTCTGACATCTGATCTCTTGGAATTGTTGTTACTGTTGCTTTCAGAGTTACAGAATGGTTTTGGTTGGAAGGGATCTTAAAGATCATCTCGCTTCAACATCCCCCTCCCAACCCACCATGGGCAGGGACATCTTCCACTAGACCAGGCTGCTCAAAACCCCATCCAACCTGGCCTGGGAGGCTTCCAGAGATGGGGATTGTCTCCGGGACGGGATTACCTTCTGCGGTTCTAAAAACCGATCCTTTGAAACTATGCTTGGTATAACGAAGCTCTTGTCTCTTTTCTTTTTTTTTTTTTCTTTCTGTGTGATGGAACCAGGTACAAGGAGCGGATAAGCGATGTGCACTGCCCTGAGCCCGAAGGCACGCGGGCCTGGCCTCTCCGACATGCACCAGTACAGCCAGTGGCTCGCCAGCAGACACGAGGCCAACCTGCTGCCCATGAAGGAGGATTTGGCCCTGTGGCTCACAAACCTGCTGGGTAAGGTGCAGTGAGGTGGAATTCAGGCACTGGGCGGGAAGAGAGGGCTCTCTGCGCCGGTAGCTGGGGATTCAGGGTGGTTTGTGTTTCAGAAATAGAGGTAGTGATGATTAGGTGGCTGCTTCCACACAGTGCAGCTGCTAGCAGGGTCAGAAAAGCTAATGAGTAATGTTGCCTCCACAGCGTTACTGTGAGTAGCATAATTGAACCTTGTTATACATTTCCTGTTTATTTTCTCAAATGCCCCTTTTTGCCTGTGTTTTCTGTATTAATACCATCAAGCTGAATGATGCTGATTACTGCCATCACCCTTGTTTTCCATTTTTATTGATGGGCCTCCTAAAGAATATGGGTGTACTGACTGTCTTGAACAGAAGGAACCATTAAATAGTTCTTTGCTTACTGAGCAGTCTGGTAATTGATAAGTGCTGCCCAAGGCAATGCCTGCTAAGACTTCTGGAAGTCATTGATAGAGGGGTTTGACCTACCATAGCTGGCACCTGGGGATTTTACTGGTTGCAACTGCATGCCTTGATGTGTGAAACCAAAGCATGTTGTCAAAAGAGGGTGCAAACCAAACACCGAGAGAAAAAAAAATAAGGTATATTTGAAAGAAGAGCAAATGAGATTGTCCCTGGCAGGAAGGAGAGAGACAATAGTTTGAGATCCACAAATCATTCAAGGAGGTGTACATTTAGAAACTGAGTCAGGAAATAATATGCTGTTTCCTGAGATCAGCTCAAGGAAAAATGGCTTTTGGGTGATGTCTGCAAGTCCAAATGTATGACTTGCACAAGACCTCATTCTAAAGGAGCCATGCCAGCAATTCCTCTCATTAAACAAAGCGAAAAAAATATTTCAGGGGAGGTGATGGTTACGTGAAACTTTTGTTGATGTTATTTTGGAGGACAGTTTGGATGAGCACTTTTAAATTGATATGTGTGGGTTTGGAGGATTTATTTAATTTTTATTTTATTTTCTGAAAAGTCTGTTCTGCTGTGACATGGGCAGTGTCTTGTCATGGCAGATGCTGAAGCTATCTCAGTGATATCATGCAATAATGGAGTACACCCAGTGCCTTTCATCTGCACTGTATTTCCTCTTAAAAAAAAAAAAAAGAGAAAGATGTAGTCAATAATTACAATGCTAGTGGAATGCAACACCACAGTATTTTTTGGGTAGATGATACCCATTTTAGAGTTGTAACAGTTATGGATCCACAACTGCAAAAGTGGCCTGTGCTTTAAATGATGTACTTGTGTGGTACTTCAATTTAAATTAATGAGTTTTGAATATAAAAAATTGCCTAGGCCATTCCGGAACAAAGTTCAGAAATACTGACTTTTCATTCCAATTACCACAAGACTGCAATCCAAATGACTGTGTTTTCAATCAGAAGCAGCACATTCCATTAAGGATTCAATATATTGTTTAAATGTTTTAAACAATGAAGTTTTTGGGATCCACTCTAAAACAAATGGAAGCTTGTTTGCAGTTGGTAACAGAGTTCTCCCAGTGATAAGTTTAGGAATGAGGTCACTTTTTGAGCAAGAAAGTAGGAACCAGCAGGAGGTTCTGAAATGCCAACTATAATTAAAAATCTGGTTTTTCATATGGACACCAAATTCTGCACTGCAGAACTAAATGGGTGCAACCTTCTTTTAATTAAGCAGAATATACAGTTCATTTGCTTAATGCATCCCCCCCCACACCTTCTCACACCAGGCTCTTCTTTTCTCAGAGTTTGTGCTGAAGAACTGAAATTACAGTGATTTGTTAAACCCCCTTGAATTCCTGTGTCGACATTGTTATTCAAATTAATAATTCAATTAAGTTAAAATTCACATTCAGAATAAATTAAGTGTAAGTGAATTAAAATAATTATTATTCCTAAAAGTATATTAACTCAGAGTTCAAATTTGGTTTAATTACTGCATAATTTGGATTAACTTTAAATAGAGTAGGGTTGTATGAGCATGTTGTGTGATAAAATACATATGAATTTACAGCATGCTGTTACCTTGTAAAAACCTGTTTGTACTGTTTAATTTTTCAGCATCTGAAAGGGTAGAAGAAGATGGAAACCTTTTTTTGTTTGTTTGTTTTGTTGTCGGTTCTTTTCTTTAAGTGGGAGAAATAATGTACTTTGCATTTTTATGGTCATGTAGATTTTCCCATGCAAGGATGTGCAAATAGCAGAGAACAAATAACAATGTGTGTATCCACACCTTGGCTTGCTCTGTTCTAATGCAATAAGGTCTCTCAGGTTTTAAAGAACACCAATATGCACTTCAGTTAATTTTTGCCATATTGGTTCATGTTTTGTTTCATCCGTATTTTAATCATATGGACTAGAACTCAACAAGGACACGTAATCTTTTCAATGAAATGCAGATTTTTTTAAAAAAATAACAGTATTTCAGGAAAGAATAGGGCTGAACCTCTTTGAAGCAGATTCATCAACTGATGGTGTTTTAGGGAATCTTTGTGGAGAGGCAATTATGTCCTACACAGTGTTACTGGAAGTTGAAAAGATTACAGTCTTGCAGTAGCAAAGCCTAGTGCGGGTTCAAAATTAAAAACTGGAGGACATTATCAGGACATTTTACTTTATATTATGAATGATTTTGTTGTCAGACAGAAGGTAGGCATAGCTAGAGTTTGATCTTACCCAAGTGGTAAATTAGAAAACTGAGATATGTGGTGCAGATGGAAAATAACACTGTGAGAATTTTTAACCCTGAGACTTTGGACATTTATTCTAATTTAGCATGTTGTGGGTTTGTTTTGGTTTTTTTTTTTTTTTAAGTAATCACTACTACTTTTATATGCATTATGCTAATTATTTTTGGAACCATGTCAGAGGAACTTAGAGCTTCTGAGAGGACAGTTTGTCATTACAGCTCCACTGCTGAATAGATTTTTAGCTGTCTGTACTCTGGGGGGATGGAAAAAGGACGTTGCAGATGAAATCCATGTGTCAGATAGGATTAACTCATACGATATTGTACATTATAGCGTTTTCAAAGTGGGACACATCAGCATTATGGGGGTTGTGGTTTATGTGCTGGACAGAAAGATTGGAGCTATGGATGTTGTGTCTCTTATCTTTGCTTCTCTCTGCTGAGCTTTGGTGTCTCAGTCAAGAGTGGCAGTGGCAAAGTTAAGAAGATGTGTTAGCCCAGCTGTCCTGCAAGTCATGATCGTGTCCTAGCCTTGTTTTTATTATGTATAGAGCCAATGAATCGCTTGGGAATGCTTTCATGGCTGACAAACTCCAAATTTGGTAGATTATATATATACTTACTGTAGTATAATGCTCTTGTGGAGGCTGTCAAGCTCTGTTCACCTTGAGCAAGCTGCACGTGGCAATTAGCACACTTGGGCCACAGCACTCTTCCAGTAGAGGGAAAATGGCAATTTGAAAGGTTTGCTTGCCTGCCTTACTCTCCAGTCCTTTCTTGTTTTCTCTTGTGTGTCTGCAGAAGTCAAGTGGCTGATGTGAGGAGGAGTGGGCCTCATCACCAACCAGCCTGGAGTTTAGGATGGGTACAGAGAGATGGTCTCTCTCTTTCCTCTTTGGCTATTGTGTGGAGCTCTGATCTTTCGACTCGCTCCCAGAATTCATTTACAAGCTGCAGAGGGTTATATTGTCTTTTATTCCATCCAGCTTCATTTAGCACGTGGGACCACACCTCAGGGACGTGTCTGAGCTCCAAGGTTTCAGTGCTGAGGCCTCCTCCTGAACAGCTTTCTGGGCTTCAGGAGCTCATAACCGAGTGTCTGGAGGATGCAGGATGCTGAGGAATTGGACATGTGAATGTTGAGTGCTGTTTGGTGCACACAGAAGTTTCTTGGATGCAAGGGAGAAGGAAGCTTGGAGAAAAGGATTAGAGAGGCGAGGATGTTAGGAGAGTTGAAGACCGGGCTAGGTATTTAAAGATGTGTTGAAGGAGATGTAAAGTTTGGGATGGAGGAGTAGGAAGTCATCTACAAGTAAACTTTCTTTGATTCTGAATTAAATATCATTCAGCTCAGTGTTTTTGTTCACCTTGCTGTCCCAAGAGTGTTCTGTAACAGTATGTTTATTTTCAATCTCAGTTTGTTCAGATCAAGCCAGTGGGAAATGCAGGTCTTAAATGTCTGAATATCAAGACCATCAGAGTGCTGATACTTCCAGTGTTCCTGCTGCCACTGATACAGTTTCTCCCTTAGTTGAGTGGCTTTATAATTTTCTTTAGTATCAACATGCCTTTAGAATTGCTTATATGACCCATTTTAAGTAAGTGATAATGTCTCAACGCTTTCCAAACAATTTCTTCTGCTGTCAGTTTGCAGGGAACAGAGTGGCCTTGGCAGAAAAGAACTAGTTTTGTATGTGCATAAAATCCCTGGCCTTTTGTTTTCCTTATTTTTGTCACATATTTTTATTCTGGGTTTCAGCATCCTAGATGTGTTTCAGAGACTCACCCGAGTGAAATATTTCTATTCATAAACTACTGGTTTTTGTGTTGCTGCTGAAACGCTCAATTAAAACAGTCCCGTCAGCTGGTTCTGAGGCTGGAGTCAGTCTTGCACTGTGTTTATTGCAGCAAATGCAGAAGAACTGAGTGCAATAACAGAGGAACCAACTAGATTTTTGGTACTTTGGCTCTTTTAGTCCCTCAACCTTCTTCTGTTGTCTGAGACAGCCCGTAGGGAATGCTCTGTCTTCGGCCTCTTGGACACACACCCAGGGCATGGTCTCTTTTCAGGTGGTCTGTCATGGATCTCCCAGTCTGGTTGCATTGCAATAGGTACCACAGTTTGACTTTTTCAGGGGCATCTGGTGGTTATGGTAAGAAGAGAGGGTAAGCAATCCTTGTGAGGTTTCAGAAAGCCTCTGTGTTCCTGTTTGGTTTGTTGGTTGGTTTTTTTTCCCTCATACTTTCAGTGTTGTTTTTTTATTAGACTTAATGTTATTACCATTCTATAAAAATATTGCAACTGCTTTCTTGTAATTACAGGGGGAGTTATACATTTTTAATGGAGTTTAATGTTTTTTCCATACAAAAACACAGAACTGGGTTTTTTTTTTTCTCCTCAGGTAATGAACATTACTCTCTTTTGAATCAATACATTTCAACTGTTAAATATGTCAGTGTCTGTTTTAGCAAAGAAATGCCACCTTTTGGAGCCATAAAATACAGTGAATTGAAAGCTGACACCTAATATACTTTTCATTGGATACAGATGTTCAATGCAAAATTCATTCTTTCAGATTTCATAAAGGGGAATAGAACTCAAATAATCCAGCTTGGTGTTCAATATGCAGTGACCAAATTGCTAAAGCACTTAAAATAATATAAATGTGTTGTTAAATAGCAGAAGAAGATAAAAGAATTTTTCCATGTCTGTGTCAAGAGAAAATAAACAAGTTTTATGGTTTTTTTAATCACAATAGGAGCATTGCAGTAACTGTAGTATCTTGTATACTTATTGCAGGTTCAAGGTTTAAGAGTCTCCTTAAAATATACAATCTTTTCCTTCTTGACACAATTTTCCACTTCTGTTACAAAATAAATTGTGGCAACTCTAATACTATAGCTACACATGCACACTGGTGTAAACCACTTGCCTGTTGTAGTCTGTCTTTTAAAATATTGTATTAAAACCACTGGACTTTCAGAAGTAAAGTGAAATTCAAGGAGTCTGATATGCTAGAATTATTTTTCAAATATCTCATGCCTTCCCCCAAAAAAGGCTTTTTTTTTTACCTCCATAATTTTCTGTATATCTACAGGTGAAGTAGTAGTGAGGTTATTCGCTAAATATTCAAAGTAACACAAGTTTTTCAGTTGAAGTGTATCTCAAATTATTGTCGAGGTTTCTGTTGATTTTCTCTTTTCACACAAATGCAGTGTCTATACTATTGCCTGCTTTCTACCACGTTAACTTTCTGTTTGCTGTTCAGGTAGAGAAATAACAGCAGAAACCTTTATGGAGAAATTGGATAACGGAGCCTTGCTTTGCCGGTTAGCTGAGACCCTGCAGGAGAAGTTTAAAGAAAACAGCTTTGATGCAAACAAGCCTGGCAAAGTAAGTGTTGGTCAACTTAATGATCCTTATTTGGTAATTATCAAAGTAAATATGCAAAGCAGTTACTCAAAAAATTACTTGTAATATGTGGAGGATAAGACAGGACGAGATCAAGCAGTGGGATGTGGTAGCTAAAGAAGAAAATATGATCCTTGTGTTTATTTGCAAGGGGAATATTAAGTAGCTATGGGAGGTGTCTTTTCCTCTAGGGAGGGCTATAATAAAACTTTGTGGTTAGTTCTGGTGCCTGGAGTTTGAAGGTCTTGTTGGTGTACTGGAAGGGGTTTCAGGAAAGAGTTGCAGGAATAATGTAGAAAATGTGAAACTTAAAAGATATGAAGAGTTCTGGAAAGAGCAGGTTAAGATCTTCTTTGAATGCAACCTCCCTTTCCTTTAAATTATTTTCATAGGACAGTCTTCCTGGGAGAAATTCAAGACTGCAGAAATTCTGTTTCTGGGAGAAGTTGAATTAAAGATTTGACACATTAAAACATTAACTGTGAAACTCTTTTTATTTTTCTTGTGCGTTCAGTTATATCTTCCTTGAAAGCTAAAACAGGCAAACAAAAAGCAGGTAAAAAAGAGCTCAAGAACATAATGCATCTACTATTCCTGATGTTTTCATAACTTGTCTGTAGCAGAAATTAGGGCACAGCATGAATTTTATCAGCTGTTCTGAGAACTGTCAGCCTTGTGCCAGTTGCACCTGCACAAGTTGTTTTTCTTGGTTCCAAGTTAATAATTGTTGTTGCAGAAGAAATTGCCGTGTTTCCTGCTTCAAATTATAATCAGGACTTGTTTAGTAGAGGTACTGGTTGACTTCTTGTCCAGCTTGTCTTCACCTGTGTCATGGTAGCTTCCAAGTGAGAAAACAACACCTCTTGCAGTCTTTTTGATTAAGCCTAGGAACTAGCTAGCTAGGCAGAAAAGAAGGGTTACTTGTAGGTTTTGAGCCTAAATTACATTAGAAGCTGACTAGACATATGCAGTCACGTGTGTTGCCAATACTTAGTTTTGTTGGTCTTTTATTTGTCAAACTGTATAACTGACAATGCAATTAAAGGGAAAAAAAATGTTCTGCTGCTGTTTATGTATATTATTTTGTACTTATTATAGTAAGAATGCAAAGAAATGGCAGAGTAATAAATTGTGTCACTGTAGACTATTAGGAAGCTCTTCATCCCTTCAGATTTTAGTACCCTGTGTAGCAGTCTCAGGCAATAGGACTAGTCTACACATTGAAAAATCTGACTTGTGGTGTCAAGGAAATCTATAAGGAGATTATACTGTACAAAATTCAGCACAGTAAGAATTCCACAATCCTCCCCTGAATCACTATTTTGCACTCTGTTAATTATATATGTGAACTTTTGAAGCCAGTTGTGTTGAGTTCAGCCTCTATCAAAATAGACAACACACTTTTCTATCTGTATATGTAACTTTTTTTTTTTTTTTTTAGATAAAAGCAGACTGATAGAAATTAGGGACTGCCAGACAGATCAGCTTGCAGGCAGCACCAGGTTGCAGCTGAGTGAGGGAGACAGGATAAGGCTATAGTTAAAGGAGAGAGTGTGTGATCTTGCTGAGACCCTCCACGAGCTTGAAGATTCGGTCTGTTTTCATAAGTGAAGTTTTTCCTTGCATGTGAACATCCTCCTAGATGGAAAAGCTCCATGTAATGTTTTTGGGTTTAGTTTTGTCTTAAAAGAAGATAGGAAGATGATATATCCTGTTCTGACTGATATGTACAACTTCTCATGAATTCATTGGGCAGCATTTTGGGGCTGTCTGGCCCGTTTAGCAGTTATAGCAACAGATGTAAGAAGACATTAAAAGCCAATACTGCATGCACTGACTCATCAGCTGTTTGCCATAATTCCTTAAATTTATATTGCAGTGCTCTACAAAATAGCAGAGGCTAAACCCCACTGCTTCTGGGTTAACTTGTGTAATATGTTTCTAGTCCCTGTCAGTTTTGCAGTTTGTTTGTGAACTCAGCTGTATCATTCCCTTTCCCCAGTTAAGGGAACACTGAACTTCCTTCAGATTTCAGGAAAAGCCCCCAGGTCAGCAACAGCCTTTTTGAGTGTGGAATACATTGGGAAAGCTGAAACCAGAAAGAAAACAAAACCAGTTGTGCCTCCCAAAATATTTTGTTTTTCAAATCTGGAAGGAAGGTTGTCGTGTTGATATCAACACTTCCTTTTTTGCGTCATGTGAAGACACTTGTGGATACTGGGGACATTTTCAAAATACATGGGAAACTGCTGGTAATGTGACATGGAAATACACCTTTAAGAGACTGAAGAGGAGATTAAATGGTGTTCAGTGCAAAAGTAGTCTTTTCTTAAGAGTCAGAGGAAAGGGAATGGAGTTGTAACTTTTTATGCATGAAGGAGGTAATGGAGTTGTATTTTGAGTGACTGAGTAGGTTAGGACTCTTGAGTTTGGGAAGAGAGGCATATGGTAGTACCTGCAAAATCAGGAAGGTGTGGTAGAAGTTCATGTTCTACACAAAGACTGTAGGACATTGAATAAAGGGAGTAGAAGCCAGACAAGCAAAAGGAGGGGCTTATTTAGAAACTGGTTGAACAATTCTTGTCAAGGACCATAAAATTTAGCTGGGTTCAAGTAAACACTGAATAATGTGATGGAAGAGAGACTTCTGGGAAGGCTGAATACACAGGAACCCCACCCAGGTGAGGAAGTCCCTATAGATGGAAATTGTTGGAACTTCAGAAGGCATAAGAGCCACTCTTATGTTCTCTGTGTTACTGTTTCTTGGGGATGAATACCCTGCTGGTTGTGCAAGTAGACAAAGGCAAATCTATCCTTTCACAAGGGTCATACTTGAAATTAAATTTGTACTTTTTTTTTTTTTCTCTCTCTTCTCTCCTGTGTAAGTCCTCTTTAGGACTAGATCTGTGCATCTAAAAATACCACCTGGGCCATATTCTTTGGTATCTGTTATTCAGGGGAGCAGTGTGTGATCTGGAGCAGTGGAGTTTGGCAGCCTTAACTTTGTGCTGTTTGATTTGTTAACCCTTCAGTAATAAGATATTAAAAGCATTTAAAAATTGTTCCTTGCAGAAGATGTGAGGTTTCTTTTGCAAGTACCAGAAGACAGTGTTCTTCCTTGTTAAGCAGCTAAACCACGCTTCAAAACCTGATCACTCTGAAAACATTGATGTTGTAGCTGATCCTTTGCTAGAGACAGACAAAACTTCAGGGTTTTAAATGAAAATGGATTTTTTAGAACAGCATTAGACTGGTGTGAGGATATGATGTATTTTGTAAGATGTCCTTTTTTCCTCTTTTTGGAGGTTTTTACAGCCATAAATAAATCTAACCATGTGCACTTATAAAATGACAAGGAGATGACTGACATCAATCTTAATAAATGCTCAGGATTTGTATGGTAGTAAGTTGTTGGAACTACCTGTGCTGCTGCTGCTAATGATCAACTGTCTAGAAATTACAGACTTATTATTATAGCAGCAGTTATTCCATGAAAGTCATTCATGTCACAGGATGCAGTTTTGTAATTTTCTCCCATTGGCTTGGATTTCATCTCCATGCTCTCCTGCCAGTATTTTACTTTTCCTGACAGATAGTTAATTGGAGAGTTTTGCAGCTGTACAAACAAATTCAGAGCATCAAGGCACTGTGCAGTATGTGCAGAGCCCAGATTTGATTTGATTTAGCTTGGTTTAGTAAGACCATTAATTAAGATTGTAAAATAAACATAAGTAAATTGTGTTAATAGTTGGTACCCTTTTTATAGGCAGGGCTTGTGTTAATGGTTGTTACCATTTTTACAGGCAGGGCATAGTATTCTGTCCATCATCCTTGAAGCTGCCTATATATTTATGAACTTTTCATTTAAAACAATGACAAATGAACAAAACCAGGTTGAAACTGAATTATCCTTTTTCTCCCAAGTTCTCAGAGGCTAATCAGATAAATTTCAATTCAAATCTCTCTTGTAAATACTTCTGAATAATGAAATGAAAAGTAAAATTTAGCCCCATTTTCAGGAAGCTACGATCTATTGATTTGGTCAATGAAAGAAATAGAAATAAGTACAAAAAAATCCAATCCAGGTGCAAAGATTTTTGAACTTCTAGAATTTTTAATTCAAAGATGCGTTTAATTTTATTCTTTCGATGGGAAGTGATTTAATAAGATTAAACTGAATGTTCACTGAGCTGTTGTGTAGAAAACAGTGAGTAAACTGTCTTTGAATGTACATGTCCACTTCCACTGCAGCTGTCTATGAAATAGTGATTTCTGCAAATACACATTCATGAATATCATAATATTAGGAGATTCTGTCCACGTCTTACCCATAGTCATAGTACCTGAAGTGTATTTTGCAATTTTTCTGTACCCAGAGCTTTCATTTGGTCCTGGGAAAGGTTCTTGGCCAATCTGATACTTGGTGAGTGCAGATCACTGTGGCAGCGTTGGCTTCTCAGAGTCATGCAGGTTCTCAACAGATGAGATTTAAAACTCTGTTTTTTATTTCACATTGTTCTTGTTTCTAGAGACAGTTACATGTATCTGTGGAAGTAGAGGCAGAATCCTGTAAAAACTGCAGGACTTGAGAAGCCAGAGGATTGATCTGAATTCTGTCGATGAGTTCAATGGCTGGTGCCAAAGGAGCAAGATTGTAAACTGGAGTCCCAGTATTTTCCCATCTCAAATACAAGCTTACGGTTTGCTTCTGGGAGAATATCTGGGCTTTCACTTTCTACACCCATAACATGGGAATACTCTTCACTGTACAATGGTGGCTTGATTTGGGAACGTTTGTAAAGTGCTTTGAGCACCTTGGCTGTTGCTGCCTCATTTGGTGAGCTGTGATTACTATTAAGTAGTTCCCATTATGAAAAAAAAAAATTATATTTAACTCTGCTCATTTACAAGAAACATGGAAGCTTATGGTTCTCTAAATGTAGATGAGAGAAGGATCTTTGCTTGTGGATCCACTGCTTCAA